AAATTGATAACGCAATGCCTGGGTTTCGCCAAATGACGTCTTCTCTCAAAATAGTTTTAGGGAAAAACAGCTGTATATGGAAGTGAAAGCCACTAGATGGCAGCATTGCAGCTCATTTCATTGCTGGTACCAGCAACTCAATACAGTTGCTCAATAGTATTTTAATCTGGGGAGGCTCATGGCAAAAAATAATTGATAAACATTGTTTAACCAATCACCTTAGTGAGAAGGCGGCACTTAACTTTCTTAACCACCAGGCCACCACTTCCCCGATCGGTATCGGTTGATATTGGAATCGGAAATTAAGTGTTTGGATAATATCGCCACATCGGAAAAAGCTAATATTGGATATTAAATTTAAAGGTTTTTTATTACACAGCAACGTAACATATTGTTTCAATAAATATTTAATTGCAGAAACATGTATTAATACGTCTTACAGTTACAACGAGCCCTTCAACATAATCTGCTGATGTGGCCCCCTAGTGGAAATAAGTTGAGAAGATAAGAAGTAGGGCAACTTTGAGATCATAAATCAACAATATTTTCCAGATAATGTTTATATGGCTATTTTCTTAGCTCATTTTTAGTTTTGTTGAATTTTCATGACTTAATGACTCAGCTATTTATAGGCATTGCTTCACATTTTATTTTGTTTTGTTTTGTTGTTTCCCTTTCTTCCCTGTGCTTTTCTCTATCTCTTCTCTAAAACCACGTTCAAAATGTGAAGACGGCCTGGTTTCCATTCGCTGCCATTGATGCAACTGGTTGACTACTTACTTATTTTACAGTCTATGATTAGAGTCAGCCGAGGTGAGGCAGCAGATATCCTGTGGATAGCACTCTCCATAGAAGGGAATAGCACAGTGGGAGGTTGTTGATCTTGTGCAGAGGTGTCAGATATTCTGTAACATGTTCCATAGATGATCCATAGAGTTACCTCGACCGACCCCACGACCGGTGTTTACAGGACTCCCTGTGTAGTTTGAAGCAGCTCTCTCTATAGATACTGTATATTTGGTCCTTTATAAAGTCCAAAGACTTTATAGACTTTATGA